CCCCCCCTCCCCATCCTTGCGCTCACAGACATTTAGTGCCTCTTTCCATTTAGTCAATTATGGAATGAAGAGGGGGAGGGCTGCCCTTTTAGGTCCCACGTTACACAGAGAGAAATATATTCAAACGTTGCAAATGAGGTGATTTCGTCTGTTTTGATGCTATGTCTATCCAAAGTCGTTTTCCATTGCAAATGAGCACTTTATTTTTGTTTGTTTGATCTCCAACTAATTCAGCCATTTTGTCAATAGACACGGAGACTTTTTTTTTGAATGCCAATGTGTTTTTTTTTTTTTTTTTTTTAAATTGTATCTGTCATTTTAAAGTGTGTAAAAAGCGATCTATAAAAACTGTCAACATTCCAACAGATAAGTGCTCTTTAAGTCAACCCCCTTATCAGTCAGTCCTCTTGGAACACACACTTATGACCTTGGTAGGACATGGTGGAAACATGAAATGCTATCTAAGGTCATGTTACATGCAAGCGCACACAATTTCCTCAGCAGAACCCGCGCCCCACCTCTCCCCTATCTCGGTGACCTACATCTGTGTGACTCGCTCATGCGTGTGCGGCTCCGAGTTCACCCGGGGTCTTACCCAAATTCCAAAACCTTTAGCCTAACGCGGATCCACTCTCTGGCAAATGTCAGAGCGCTCCTGCCACGTGGCGCAGACTTTGAAATTGAGACCAGGTCCCGCAGAGGGTGTATTATTTATTTATTTATTTAAAAAAAAATGGCAGGGTCTCAAGCTAGCAGCTGAGCTTCAAGGGAAGCTAGCCGACCATCTGGCGACGCGTTGTTGTGCGCGTACTTAGTGTTTGCCTGTCCATTCTGTCGGAGGTCACCGCAAGAGTAAATGCTGACGCCAGATAATATGTAAACACACACACACACACACACACACACACACACTCCTCCACCCTGAGGTAGGAAATTTCCGCCCACTCCACCCCCATTATCTTCCCTGACCTCTGACCCTGGTCTTGTGAGTCTCCCGTTTGGCCCAAGCTCTGGCCCTCTGCGATCTGATTGGTCACTTTGACCCTCTTTGTGTAGCAAGCTGTGCTCGGCGAGTAATATGCCGAATGGGGTTTGAGCAAGCGAGGGCACCTAAAATAGGCAAAAATAACAAAATAATGTTGCGTTTGTTTCGAATAGTTCTTTAAAGTGGGATGTGTACACATTGATTTTTAACACCCGAACCGCTTTTGAAATTGTCACAGACGACATAATAGGCATGAAAAACAATGGCTGGCGTTTGGGTTCATATCACTCTCAATTGCCTTTCAAACCAAGTTATTTGATCAAAGTAAGTCATATTGAGCATGTCTATTCTATTTTCAGTAAATATGAACTTAGCTTTCCAAATTTCCACGATGTTGTTTGTATGTTGTCTGCTTGCTTTTATTGAAGATTTTAAAATGTGTGGGAGCTTGACCAAAATTCATTTCGAACAGTAACATGGACTTAATACAGCCAATATTAAGTTAAAGGGACAATCTCATTTAAAAAAAAATTATTTATATTTGCTTCATCAATGGGGATGTCTCAAAGGCAGCGTCTGGAAACGTTGACTCATTTGGTGTGCTCCAGATGAGCAACGGAGCACACCACGCTCAACCATATCGCCACCAACAATCCAAGTGTCCTCCCGCAAACCAGATGTGTCTTCTAGTGCCAAGACTGACCTGTGGGAGGCAGCGCGTTGCCACAGGGCACCCAGACTGCCAAATAATAGAAAGAAGAAGAAAGAGTGGTCGTTGACGAAGCTCGCCTGCCTGAGTAAATATTGACCAGAGCATTTTCCTAACAGATCGGGAATATGATTACATTTGACTGCTCAACTGAAACACGGGAATGTGACACATAAGACGTGGCCATCCGTGGATTTCTCCGTTTCTGTCGCACCTTCCGGAAGACTAATTTAGTTGTCGCTTCAGATGGCCACCTCAAAGAGGAGAAAAAGACCCTGCTGCCGGTCTTTGTTCTGGCAGGGTTTGCAGCGGGGAGGGAGGGGCGTGCGGTATGTGTCCTAAGACAGAGGTTGCAGATCATGACCTGTAAGCTTGAACTGACCCTTGAGCCCTGCGGCCAGTTTCACAGAGGCAGCCTTATCCCACCTCCCCTTTGTCCCTGTGAGGTCCCGCCCCCCCGCCCCCCCTGACCCCCCACCAAACGCCATCGGAGCAGCCAGATAAATATTGGAACAAATTGTGCATGGCCAAGTTTAAACATATTCATGATGCAAATTATCAGAATTTGTTAAGAGTAGTTAAGCACGTTCTAAAAAAAAAAACAGCAAAAATGATTGCATTACCTTTTTTTTTTTTTTTTTGAAACTAACTGAAAAATGTTTGTACCTCATGATTTCCTTTTTGAAGCTACAGCATTCATAGTAGGAGAATGTTTATCCTTACAATAGGTTAATAAGTTTGCATTTATCATTTTTTTTAAACTTCTGTAGCTCAAAGCGCAACTTTGCTGATCTACACCGACAACATGGCTGTGAACGGAGTAGAGCTCGTGTACAAAAGCACTGTTAGTGTTGCCAAAGTAGTTACTTTGTCGCTATATTTAGCAAGTCTTTCAACCCCTCGAATAAGTACTTTTCAGAAAACGCGCCCAACAACTTTCATTCTTGCCAAGAAACAAACAGCATGTGCAGAGACATTCTCGCATTGTTCCCGTATGACAAGAAATGAGCCCCGTGGAAGGCGAGCACGGAGCGAATGGCGCTGAAAATTGCCCAAAAAGATGTTGCCCATTTATACGTCGCAAAACTTGCGATTCACTGACTTTTTATCTGAGCTATGCAAATATTTAAATGAGCTGGCCTGCCTCACCCGTACATGAAAAAACCATGAAAGCTCTCGGGGCTGCGTTGATGCTGTGACAACCATCCAGTTTGACGGCTCATTGTCATGTTTGAAATGCTTCAGATTATTGAGGAAAAAAGCATTTCATTGGGATCATGTTTTGACCAAAGGGAGGGAAATGTATTTTCACATTAGAAAGAAAAGTGATGCAGGGTCATTCTCGAGGGTTGTTCGGTATCCAGTGGGCGTATTCAAACAGATGTTTGCGCATTCACCCGCCAAGCCCCCCCTTGCTTTGAATGTTTCTTTTATTTCCCCGCATCCTGTTTGCGGGGGTCATCTTGAGCCCTTGTGAGCAATAACAGGCCAAGCTTACTTTTGTTTCATCTCATCCCGACATCCACAGCATGCAGGTTTCTGTCCTCCTTTCAAAAGTAACCTGTGTTATTTTGCCCATCCAGCTGAGCATGGAGAAGGTCCAGGCCATCGCCGAGCAGGTGGAAATTAAGGCAAAGGTGGTCCAGACCGAAGTGAAGGCCCTGGTCCTCCGACATAAGAAAGCGTTGGAGGAGAGGGAGTGTGAACTACTGTGGAAGGTAAACCTCTTCCTGCCATTTGTTGACCTCGTCTCACCTGCTTACGTCTCGCCTGTCTGCCCCACAGTTGTGATGAGTTTGCGGGTCAGTCCCCCGTTCGGTCTTTCCTGCACAACCGCCCAACTCGCAGCCTCCCTGACAAAGTCATTAGACAACAACCCCCCGCGTAGCACCTTTTTTTTTCCCATTCCTTCACCCCAATAGTGACTCAGCCGACTGACTTACTACGCATTGAGAGGAGCCATAGATTTCTGCAGTCTCCCCTAACTGTTGCGTTTATGAGGGCAGTTGTCAGTAAGATTTGCGATGCTCTGTACTTTCTCTGTCTGCTCACTAAACTGGAAGGAATGCCGGCGAGAGCGGCAGGAATACCAGTCGGGTCAGATGAAAGCTGAGTCATAAGTAGGGAAGGTGTACATGGGTGTCGTACGGCTCCATGTCCATATCGCATATGGTTCATAGTTTTGAATTCCCTTTAGAATATTCGATTTGAAATGCATTTACTGTTGTCGAGGGCCACACTGCTTTGAAACCCGACCCGTCTCGTGCCTTTACTGTTTGATCTGATTACTCTTCCTATCTACCCTCCGGCTGTTCAAGTGTGGTGGAGATGTCAAATTGGCCTGAAAATATTGACGGCGCTCGAAGCGAAACCAGCTCATAATAAAAATAACAATTTGACCAATTTCGCTTGTCCACATCTGCGCCGGTGGAGATTTGGATCCCCAACTAGAGCACATGGATGTATTTATGGTTTTCGGTGAGGCCGTAAATGTCTCTTTAATTCAATTGAATCCTTGAGCCATGAAAAGGATGTCAGGCTGTGCCGCGCTGTGGTAAATTCTCAGCTTTTCTACAAGGAGTGTGGACTTAGTGGAATGCCACAGAGCTTAGTGTGCGCCTGAAACCTGAGATCTCTGCAGGAGAACTCGGTTGATCCATTCAAGATGAGAGCCTCTGCTTTCTGCTCTGGAAGGTCTATTCTGAAAACGACCAAAAGGTGAGCTTTCAGTTTGGACCCCAAATGAGAACAAGAACAGCATCGGCCCCTTTGCTCCCCTAAGACTCGGCTGTGTTAGCTGCCAGCTCATTTTACAGTCGCTTCGTTGAGAGATTTGGAGATAAAGATGGTTCATTCACTTCACCAGATAGACCCGGGTTCGGTCCGCTTCATGGGCATGCTTTCTGCCGTAGCGCTCCCCCTGCCATTACAAAAGCCCCATCCATGAGATGAGTGCGGCTCACTCGTGATCAACCCATTGGCTCAGTGGGAGCTTCCTGCCAGCGAGCATGATGACGGGCGGCATTGTCTGCCAAACAAATCCGGGGAGATGCTCCGGTCACTCGGCAAGTTGTTTCCTCACCGCGGGCCTGTTAGACTTATCGCCGATGTCACCGGTGACGCACGTTGTGTGGGAGTTGCCCTGGGCATGCTCGGTTGCTTTCCACAAAGAAGACTTATCGGGGCCCTTTACTTATCTCTCCATCTTCCCGACGTGTTGGCGTGGAGGCTCCTCTTCATGGTATCCGTCATAAAGGCCAACAAGAGCCTTTGTCGTCACGGACTATAAAGTGTAAATCTACTCTCACATGTGCAAATTGCACTTCCACCGAGGCCAAGACTCCACAAAGAGCCCTCTTTTGGAGCTGGAGTCGGGAGGGACTGAAGGCGGTCAGCCTATTGTGTTCAACTCTTTTTGTTAGGTGACGCTAAGTAAGAGCCAATGCTTGCTTGCTTCTCAGGTTCTACGGTCACCTTCAACACTTTTGACCATTTTTGTTTTCCTGACTGAGTACTCGAACTAACAGCAGGCTGGCTTTTGCTGGACACACTCCCCTTTTTCTGCCAGCCAAAAATGACTGCGGAAGCCCATCATGGGGAAAATATTTAAAAATGAAAAAGATTCGACAGTTCAAGCTGCATGTGGCCATTTCCTTTTCATTCAATTCCAACTGGCTTTTGAGACATTTCATGTGCTTCAAACCAATTCTGCTCATTGCTGCCATCCTGTGGACGGACATGTTGTCAAATTGTCACAATGAAGGAGTTTTTCCTCAAGCTTTATTGTGCCAAGGAACATATTTTACAGTAGAAAAAAAATTCGCAGTACATGAGCACCCTTTTTTTTTTACGTTGAAGATGAAAGATTTATTACTTATAGAAGAAAAAAAATGTAAAAAACAAAAAAAGCCATCTGTTTAATTCAAAATATTTTCATTTCCCACCCCCCAAAATGAGAAAATCGAAGCTTAATGTTGCAGTTTGAAGCCCTTTCTTCACTGCTACTTGATCAACAACCTCTCCTCGGTGTATTTTCTGTTCGTTGAAACAAATCGCCTTCCTCTCCGCCCTCTTGCAGTTGGAGAAGATCCGGCAGCTGAAGGCCAAGTCGCTGTACCTGCAGGTGGAGAAATTGCACCAGAGTCTGACCAAGTTGGACAGCACCATCGCCGCCGTCAGCCAGGTTCTGGACGAGGGCCGCCACATTGACGTGCTGCTGGCCCGAGAGCGCATGCTCACCCAAATTCACGAACTCAAAGCACTGAGGGGTCTGATGCAGCCGCAGGAGGATGACCGTTTCATGTTCACGCCTCCAGACCAGGTAGGATGCGAGAAGGTTTCGACAAGCACGCCGCAGTACTTGTGAGGGACGCTCCCCGTTTCCAACGTGTCGTGCATTGCTCCCACAGGCTCTCTACATCGCCATCCAATCCATGGGCCTGATCAGCAGCGGAGCCTTTGCCCCAGTCACCAAAGCCCACGGCGACGGGCTCAACGGCGCGCTTCGTGGCAAGCATGCGGCTTTTACCGTGATCGGCTACGACCACGACGGCGAGCCCCGCCTCTCCGGCGGCGATATGGTGACCGCCATCGTCATGTCCGTGGCGGACGCCAACCTCTCCGCCGCAGAGGTGACCGACCACCAGAATGGCTCGTACACGGTTAGCTACATGGCCAGGAGTGAGGGGGAGCACCTTGTGTCGGTGTTGGTGTGCAACCAGCACATTCAAGGCAGCCCCTTCAAGGTGTTTGTGAAATCGGGCCGCAGCTACGGCTCCCTGGGTTCCCAAGTGTCATCGTTCGGGGGCGAAGGCGAGGGCGATGGTCAACTGTGTCGTCCGTGGGGGATCAGCGTGGACAAGGAGGGATATGTGGTGGTGGCAGACCGCAGCAACAACCGCATCCAGGTAAAAGCCTCGACTCGTTGCCTTTCTCAGCACCTCGTAGGTCGCCTGAACAATTCCTGCTTCAAATTTGGTCAATTGCCAGTTGCGCCGGCGTGAGTTGCCGACAGTACCGGTCATTTGTTTGCGACTGTTCAGGTCATGTTCAGCTGCATCGCTTTGCCTGTGGCGGGCATAAGAGTACACGCTGGATATTGCAAAAAAGTCTTGTTTCCTTTCAGAATCAATATTTTTTGATGGCGCGCTAAACTCCAAAAGTCCCCATAACCATGGCCGATCCCCAATAAATTACATTTGCAAAAATGAGGCTATTAAAGTCGAGTCAAGATCAATTTTAAATCAATTCAATTCCACAAGACCCACAGGCAAGTCTCGTCGTGTGTGTGTGGAGCCATTTATTGGGTAGAAGTGTCACCTCCCACCAAATATCGGGACAGTCTCTTGAGTATAATCGTAAAACTCAGTTATTTAGAGCAAGACTATACTGGAAAAAAAAAACGAATGTAATGACAAGTTTTCTCGACCCTCTCCAGATATTCAAGCCCTGCGGCGCATTCCACCACAAGTTTGGCTCTCTGGGTTCTCGACCCGGTCAGTTTGATCGTCCGGCCGGGGTCGCCTGTGACAGTCAGAGACGAATCGTTGTGGCCGACAAGGACAATCACCGTGTGCAGGTACAGAATTGTGCTCCCAAGAACCTGTCAAAGTTGCCAAACTGCGCGCATGCTGACAAATGCAAATATTTGTGGTGGCTGCGGAAAGCGGCTCCACTCACTGCGGCACTTGTAAAAACAAACCCCCTTCGCCGTTCGCCCCCCCCCCTGCAATTAAACAGGATGTGCCCTGACAGATTTGCTTTGCTTGACAGGTGTTTACTTTCGAGGGGCAGTTCCTGCTGAAGTTTGGGGAAAAGGGCACCAAGAACGGGCAGTTCAACTATCCCTGGGACGTGGCCGTCAACTCTGAGGGTAAGATCTTGGTTTCCGACACCAGGAACCACCGCGTGCAGCTATTTTCCCCCGACGGCTCGTTCCTCAACAAGTACGGCTTCGAGGGGGCTTTGTGGAAACACTTTGACTCACCCAGAGGTGTGGCCTTCAACCACGAGGACCACCTCGTGGTGACCGACTTCAACAACCACCGGCTCCTGGTCATTCGGCCCGACTGCCAGTCGGCCCGCTTCCTGGGCTCCGAGGGCATCGGTAACGGTCAGTTCCTGAGGCCCCAAGGCGTGGCCGTGGACCAGGAGAACCGAATCATCGTGGCGGACTCGCGCAACCACCGCGTGCAAGTGTTTGAGCCCAATGGAAATTTCTTATGCAAATTTGGAACCCAGGGGAGCGGCTTTGGACAGATGGATCGTCCCTCCGGGGTGGCCGTGACACCGGACGGCGTCATTGTGGTCGTCGACTTTGGGAATAATCGCATCCTCAAGTTCTAGGAAACGGAACATTCGCTCCCTCGATTTGGCCTTTTGCTGGGTTTTTTTTTTTGTTTTTTGTTTTCTCAACAAAGGAAATGGAGGCGAGAGAATGAATCAAAAAAAAGTGACACGATGGGAGGAGGAGAGCTCAGAGGATTGAGAGCACGTTGATGA